CTATAGCTGATTTTCTGGCCTAATTTGCAATTAAGACTGGTTGTTTTACTGAATTTTTAGACAGAGGTATTTTGTCTGTGTCTGGGAGATTACTTTTAACTCAGGATCAGCTTAGGATGCCTATTGTAAGGAGGAGGAGGTCTGTGTTGGGGGGGGGGGGGACATTAGGGAATTGGATAGAGGTTTTTTGTCATTGGCCAGAATTCTCTGATCAGCACAGATGGAGGTTTTTAGTTTCGGTCTGGGGTCTGGTTTAGACAGACAGTTTCCTGTTGTTTGTATGAGCTTGGAGTTGTGTTGTTGCTACTCTGTGAATAATTTTTCTGATGCTTTGATGGAGTGATTGGTGTTGATGACTGGGTGCAGCTGTGACAGAAGTTATTAGGTTTTAGTCCTTTTGAAGGATTAAAGCCAACTCTGTGGATTTAGAATTTTAAATTCCTTTGTGCTAAGTCTGCTATGCTGTGATGATCCTGTGGAGTGGTTTGATGGTTGCTGCTACAATTTGTGTTAGTGCAGTCTGTGTTGTGTTGTAGAGTGGCTGGTGCAGTCTGTTGCAAATGGAGGATGATGATTAGCTAGGGTAGTAGTTGAACTACAATGCCAGAAAACAGTTACTGTTTTGGTTAACAGTCTCTGTTTTTTATTCTTGTAAATTTTGATTTTTCATGAAATAAAATTCTCTCTTTTCTAAACTGGGATGTGCCATTACAGAATCTGCTTTCTCATTTGCTATAACAATACAGCACTCCCCTGTGAGAATATCATTGTTCTGAATGGTTTGAATATCACTGTCCTGTCATGTATGTGCCATGGAGGAATGGAAATGGTGAATGGGCTAAATATCAATTTTGATGAAGTTCATTTTGTTGAATATCATTTTGATAAAGTTCATTATATGGCCTGTACAAGTTACTATTTTATCTTCCTTTTTATATTTGTTGAAATATTGCAATTGATTTGTAATATTCTGTGTATGTTCAACAGCTTTCATCCATTACTTAATACCTAGTTCAAGCAATTCTACATGGTTCAAGAATGACATCTTCAAGCATGGCAACAAGCAATGAAGAGTTAAGATATCGCAATATGTATTGCCTCATTTGTACCAAAAGAGCGATTATCAAAGTTTTTAAATCTGAAAAACATCCTGGGAAGCTATACTGCAAATGTCCAGACGATTCTAGTCACTTTTTTAAGTGGATGACTCCTATTACTCTCCCCTCTTCGGAAATTAAAAATGAAAGAATGGATGTACGACGAATTGAAAACAATGTACGACGAATTGAAGAAAGGATGGATGTACGACACATGCCCACATTTCTCTCGCAATGCCCAAGTAACTTTTATCCACATATTATCATGCAAATTATACTCCGCAAGTAACGATTTTCAAGCCTCAAATAATTCATGCTCTTCTTCATATCCATACACACACTTTTTAAATCGAGTAGAAAAATATGAACCATCCTTATATATGTTTTCCAAATGTTTCAAAGCATTTTGGCAAAGATGTCAAGTACATAACCCATGGTATGTCTCTGGCATAACTATAGAAATAGTTTTAGTCATTGCTTGATCTTGGTCAGTGAAGATGGTAATAGGATATTTTTCAGACATATCTTGTAGGAATGTCTCAAACAACCACTGAAATGATGTTGTCGTTTTATCATACAATAATGCAGCTCCAAATAAGACTGTCTCCCTAAAATGATTGAAGCCAGTAAAACAAGCAGATGGTCGATACTCCTTGTTCGTTCTAAAAGTAGTGTCAAATGAGACAACATCTCCAAAGTTGTCATAGTCAATAATCATCACTGGGTTGACCCAAAAAATATTAGTAATATATTCATCTGTATCCAATTGTACTCTATAATAGAATGATGGATTTTTCACTGCTTTCATTTGAAAATACTTCAACAAACTACCCGCCTCACCATACCTCAAGTCTCGTTGTCTCCTTTCATGGAGGTAATTCTTTTGGTCAAAACAAGTAAAACCAAGATTTTCCTTTCCTCCAGACTAAGTACTTAAAAGTTCATAGGAAGCCTTAAGTGACAATCCACAATCCGCTGTCATATCAATATCAATGTCTTGTGATTCGGTAACCTTCCGTTGCGATGACATCATATGCATACATTCAGCAAGGTGCAAATGATAGTTGTGGTTGTCGTCCCACTTCACCACAACAAATTTATCAATTTCTCTATTAAGAGATATGAACATATGAGCTTGGCAATCTGTTCTTATCTCTGCTCGAGGCTTCCTTATTTGGCCCTCTCTTTTATCACGACCCCTATGACCTTGTTTACAACAAACATATTTTCTGTAAATGACAACGTCATCTTTCAAGCTTTTATTCTGAAAATCTTTTCTCACGCTATATTCCACAAACCCTCCATAACTACTATAAAACGCATAAGCATCTTCCTCCGTATCAAATTGCATACCAATATGAGGTATATTATCAGTCGCATTAACTCTCAAATCATCCATCATTGTATCCTATGAGTAAAATTAAAATTAAAATAAGACATAAATTATTTCCAAGATAAATAACCGAAACCGTACATACCAATATAGAAGCTTATATAAGTGTCATTATTGAACAATAGACATGAAGAAAATAATATTTGGAACTCTTCTTTAGATTGGAAACAGATTCTACTTGTTCCTCATTGTGATTTCCAGGATACAAATCAATAAAAAAATATTCTTCTAACAAAACCCAAAAAAAGAATTATCAAATCCACACTTGATATGTGAATGCAATTTGATAATTATTCTAAAACTCGTGACATACTTAAACAACAGCATGAGTCAAAAAGAATAGTATGTCAAATAATGATCTATTACAACAAATTTTCATATATCAACAATTGTGTGTTACACAAGAATGCAATCGACACAATATCTGAAGAAGAAAAAGAAAAAAAATGATAACTTAGGTTACTCCAGGAGTTCAATGATTCAGCTGAACAAACTCATTAGAAGCCCATGAAATTTTATGATGCATCGAGTAAATGCCATAATGGAGCCATGATTAAAAAATGCATACCGTGTTCTGACCAAGTGGAGATCTAAGAGGCAGCTGATCAAATTTTCATTATGTTCTGTTTTTTTGTTTCAAGTTTTCATTATGCTCAGTTCGACTGAGTTGAGGAAGAAGAAGGCGGGGGAAAGAGGGAGACAGCAGAGTATCTACTCGCTTGATGTGTCATGGTTGCCGATATTTCAGTGTGTATGTATAAAAAATTTAATAGCCCAAAAGGAAGAGAAGAGAGAGAAAGAGTGTAGAGAGACGGCGCTTTACCTCCATTGGACACATCTAAGCACCGCTGTAAAATTCCGTCTGCATGTGAATGTTTATGTGTATGAGTTGAGCTCTTGTAACGGCTACTTTTCATGGTGTATTGGAAGGGAGAGATTCTGATTTGCGATTGTATCCTTGTTTTGTGCTGCTTCTAGTTTGCATCCAGTGGTTTACAGAGACCCAGATGGATTATGACAATGACAAGTATGTTTTCAATTTTCGTTGTCTTATTTTTGTGGTTTTGATCGCTATGATGGTTTTGGCTTGCATTGTCTGTGGTTTATGATGGTCGGTTAGTTCCAAAAAACATTGTGGGTGCTAGTTATTTATATATTTTATGTGATTTTCTGACTGGAATGCTGATTCTGTGAGATGGGTCTTCTTGATTTCATTTGCTATTTTCTGGGCTTGCTTTGATTCTACATCAATTGCAAGGACAAAATCAGTTCAAGGGTGTGGATATATATATATATATATTCACTTTTTATACTCTTTGTCAATGCTTTGTTGTTTTTTTTCTTTAGATGATTACTGGGGATTCAAATTTGTCCTAACATGACATAGGATCCTCTCCTTCAAATTCAAGTGTAAACCTCTATTTCTGTTTAGATCCATCACTAGATGGCTAGCACCAGCTCCCGTATCATAGCTTGTTCTAGTAACTGGATTTCATGTTCATTGGCTGATTGTAAATTATTTTAATAAGCTTGTATGCTTCACTTTTTTGTCATTGCAAGGATGGTTTCACTTTTTGGCTGTTGTATGCTAAGTATGTGGACATTTTTTTTTCTTTATTGATCTGATCCTTTTGATGCTGATATGGACTAAATTCAAGGCGTATGCCTCCATGGCCCAGAAGTCTAACAAGCCCAAAAGGCCAAGACCAGAAAGAAAAGGGCCCAATATCAGCAGTAGGCTTATAACCAAACAATTCAAGCCCAGCCCAACCAATAAGCAGCTCAAAGGTTGAAAGTCTGGTCCGAATGTTATTTTTGGGTCACCCGTGGGGACCATGCATCCTAAGGGTTCGGGAACCACTCTTGACACTTACGGTAGTTTCAAAACAGAGAAGGTGGAGCACCTAGCCACCAGAGATTGTGATAATAAAGACGCCGGATGAACAGTGACCACGGTGACAACGGAAGCAGCAGAGTGCAGAGAGAAGGACTCACAGGATCAGCACTAAGAGAAGAATAACTAGAAACCCTAAGAGATATCCTAATATAAATAGAAAACCATAACCCAGCGAGAGGAGGACTCTCTCTTTCTTCCCCCATAAGTATTGTCAAACCAAGGGAAACCAATAGACAAAGCTAAATATTCACCCTTTGTAAAGGACCCCGTGTCCCCAATCGCTGTATGTGCATCTCTGCCCAAGTAAAAAACGATCAAAAGGAGCAAGAGACTCCCCTGGTAGTAGACGTAGCCTTAGTCCATCGGCTGAGGTGCACTTCTTATATTTCTCGCCTCATTATTCACTTGCAATCAATCTACAACCCACCTAATCCATCTAGAACTTCACCACCTAACCTATTGGGCTTGGGCTGTAAATTCCGAGCACCATCAGATGCCATGGTCTGAGTTGCTTCCAAAATCGGCTTGGTTTCAACTTGAATTTCTTGTGAATTTTCCATCTATACGCAACTTAAAAAATATAAATTATGATCAAATATACCTTTCGTGCGAAATGGTAGCAGCGAGAAGTGGGATTGGTAATGTGAGGATTATTGCCTTCAAGAGGATACCATACCACCAGTTTTGGTGAGTCTCACTAGCTTTTGATTTACTAATAAGTCAAGATACTTCAAAGATTTTATTGACGTTAGTAGCGCGTGCTGTTGTGCGCAGAAATATCCAAGAGCTTATGGAATGGAGTAAGCCAGAATGGAGAAGATCTTTCTTTCATGTTTAACGAAACAACTCCAATTAAAGCCTGTGATGATTTGGCTTAACTGTTACTAGCAATGGTAGCTCAATATTTATCTGAAATATTCCCCATAATTTGTGTTGTTTCCTATTTTGTTATCCTAACTGCAATCTGAAGGACACTATATCTGATTTGAAGAAATTGACTGCAGCAAACTCAAGCAAGGCGTTAGAGCAATGCACAGATACTTTAACCCAAGTAAAAAGATGCCACATGCTACAGTTTGAAACTGAAGTTTTGGATATTCCCCTTTGCAATGAGATGTCTATTTCCTTGAGGAAGGTGTTGAATTTAAATATTTTATGTAAGATCAATAATATTTTACTAAAGATAATGAATTCATCTCTTATTCTAAACTGCATGTGTGCCACAGGGAAAACATTCTCAATCATGTAATTCTGCACATCTGTCCAAACCAAAACCCATTTTTTGGTAGATATCGTTTTATGTTAGCTGAAGTTTCATTAAAGATTACTTAAAACTCAAGAAAGAAAACTTATATTTCACAATGTGGTTTCTCAGGTATTTAGGATTGGGGTTTAAGCTAACTAAGGGGAAAATTCTTTACATATTACATAAAAGATAGGTTCACTCTAGGGTCATCTCTTGAAAACCCAGTTTTGGTTGATATTAGTTTCAGTAAGGGTTCCTTAAGCCCAAAAGAGAACCCTTATTTTCCAGAGTGTGGTTTCTCAACTTTTTAGTATTGGGACTTAAGGTAATCAATGAGAAAATTCATTACTTATTACATGGAGGCAGGTTCACAAAGTGGTAAATGGTTCTTAGTTTGTGAAACGGACTTGAGTAAACTCATTTAAATGTACCCTGATAATGCTTAGATCCATGTTTTTGTTTCTATGCTTAGGAGAGAGAGGATTCTGTTGAAGAGGCAGAGTGATTTTCCAGATTTTCAGGTTTGTCTCCTGCGAAATTGTTTTCAAAAATGAATAGGTACTTCATGTCTACATAGGATCTTATGTAATAGTCTAATGCATGTCAGAGGATACATCTGCATCCAGTTATGAGGGCTTGGATCAGTCATCTGAAGGTTGGCTAGCCGATTGTTGTAATGATGCTGAGATGCACTTTCGCCCTGATGATATGTATGTCAATTCCAACAACAGAATTTGAATTAAACAGTTTTAAAATAATTGATACTAATAAATACTTGTAAACAGGAATCAGTCTGGGGCATCGAATGTTCAAATTTATATCACAGGTGCATTCAGATTAACATTCATCCAATTTGATGAGCAACTATTTTTCTCTTCATTTTTTAATTTGTTTGAACTTATTTCATTTGTTTATTTCTTGCTTATTCTTTTCCTCTGTTCTTCATTTTGTATTCACCTTAATTCACTGTTATAGAGTTCTGCAACACCCCACCTGAATATGAAGCTACTATGGTCGAAAAGTGTCCAGCTCGAACTCTTTGAAATGTTATTTTGAAAGGTTAGTCACTTAATTTTTGCCTTTATCCTCCTTTGGTGGGTTGAATAGTTAGGCTGAAGAACTACTGCAAACATGGCAGTCTTCATTTGACAAAGTAGCAATTCCAGTTTTAGGTCAAGAAGGCCTCCAATCCAACAATTTCCATATGTGCACTATTGACCTCTCAACATTATAAACATGGAAAGATAGTTGAGTATGATAAACTTTAACACCAACTATTTCATGCTTTTTTTTGCATATGCAGGTAAAAAATCATACATGCAGACCCCCACCAATTTGACTTCTTATGTTGTCTATCTGTTTGCCTTTGTTAAACCATGCAATGTCTTTGGATATGTTACTCTAAAGGTCATAAACCAGCACATACTCACTCCACCATCTAAGTCGAAGCAAAATAATGAAGATCCTTCTGTTTATCCCACTTCAGCCTTTTATGGGAAGCCTGTTGTTGGTAAAACTAAAATTCGTACTAAAGAGGAAAAGGATGCATCACCATTATGAGAACCAAAGGTTGATTAGGTAAGTTTGCTCCCAAACTTTCTTTTTTGGGGCTTTGCTCCATTATTGTTTGGGGCTAGCTTTTAAGGCATTATTTGGGGGGATGGTGTTATTATTGGATTTCATAAATCACATGAAGTGTTTATGTTTTCCAAGTGGTTTCCTAAACGACAGATTCTCGTTGTTTTATACCTGGACTGGAGTTTATTGGGATGATGATGCTATAGAACTCCTCCTACCATTGTTTATCCATAGAAAACTTTGCTGATGCTTTTGCCAAAAAAAAAATTGAATGTGAAAAGCCTTTGTTCACTTTGTATCTTCTGTTGCCCTGGAAACTGTGATCTTAATATAGCTTTGTAGTAAATGCCTTTTTTCTTTGGTTAATTTTCCGTGGTAGACTGATTCCATGGTGAATAACGTTATGGGACTCGGTGTAATCTATGGCTTAATTCATTAACTCCTTATTCACCACATTCATGATTTCTCAAAAGTTTGTAAGTAATTAGACGTAGATGAATTGCAAAAATTTACATGTAGGTAGGTGCAATTCATCGTACAAAGGCCATAAGGTATCTCTGGATGCGAAAGCTTACCTGGTATGTTCTTCTTGTAGGGATTCCTAGTTTTCGGACATGGCTTTGGTTTGTGATAATTTGTCAGATAAAGTAGCCAAGCTTGAATTTTGTATTGGACCTTGTCATTTACGAGTCAAGCTTGAGCGATTCCCAAACCTCTCTCTCTCTCTCCCTCTCTTTGTTTTTTTTTTTTTTTTTTGGGGGGGGGGGGGGCTACGCTCATGCATGTGCCTTCGTCTGGATGATGAGGAAAATTATCCTGATGCTATTTGAATGTATGTGGAGGACATTTCGCTTTTTAGATGGCTTCTCTCATGAATTTTATGGTATTAGTCACTATACCACAATCAACTCAACATCAAACAGGTTGGTTGCCTGATGGAAATTGTAGTTTCTGGCATGAGGAACTTCATTTGCAAATTAAACTTCATTGAGACCGTGATAAGGAGATTGATGAATAGGAAGACCTGAGCAGTGCAATAGATTCTGTTCCAAGTCTGGCTAGATGAGCAGAAGGTCACATTTCATTGATCTCCACTCTATACAAAGGCCATATGTAAATACTGTCAACCGAACTGTGTTATGCAAAGGCCATACCCCATAGATTAATTAAGCAATATCGAACCATATCTGGAATGAGTTTGAGTACTTCACCTCCCCACTTCCCCTCCCAAAAAAAAAAATCGGATACAAGATTAGGTAAGTGTTGCAAACATAGTTTTTGCTTTCCCGCATTAAACCGGTCTAGAGTCTAGACACCCTTAACCGCAATACCCAAAAAAAATTCTAGACATCATCTGACCATAATACTGAAAAACAAATATATATATCTACACTTTAAACATGGGCAGCAGGGTCGAACCCAAGCACCATAATAAATCACCACTCACTGTTTTGCAATGAACTTCTTATTTACAAACCAAGGTTCCACCTAAAAGAGAAATTGCAAAGGAGACTTCAAGAAAATACAAAGATGACGGCGAAATTTGTTAATAGATATATATTTTTTTAAGAACCAAACCTACAAGCACGAAAAATAACATATATATGATCATCTTTTTATGGAACTTCTGCTAGTCATTTACACACTGGAATTGTATGCATTCAAAGAGGGGGCAAGCTAAAGAAGCAAGTTGAGGGCCTTGAGAGATGATCTTTTTGATCAAAAAATATCAAGAATTTCCAAGATGAACCCATTGCAAACAGGGCAATTACCCCTTTGTACCCAAAGCTCCCTAGAACACAGCCTGCAAAATGTATGCCCACATGGTATAAACGCTGCACCCTTGTGCCTCACCATGCACACACTACAATTATTATACTCCCCTCCACCACCATCCTCTCCCTCTTCTTCCTCATCGTCATCAATCATATACGCCAAACCCTCCAATCCCATTTGCCTATCACTCTCAGCCAACAATGACATCAATGAAATCCTCACCCGCCCCTCCCCTCTCCTTTCTCCCTCCCTCTCCGCCATCGTCATCTCCTCCTCCTCCTCCGTCTCTCCCGCCACCTCCTCCGCCGATAAATCTATTTCATCTTCAGGAACGCTGTCTTCATTTGTAGTAATCAATCGACTATTTTGTCTCTCTAGAATAAAACTCGAGTGACGCCTCAACGATATCGCTCTGTTGCTCGTAACTCTATTGAATTCAGCATGAGTTGCCGATGATAGTTCTTGCTGAGTTGACTCGTGAGTCGACTCATTTGAGATAGGTTCATTCGTATTCATAATCCGAGTCGAATGCCTCCGCGTGATCATCCTATTATTAGTTTGCTTAACGGGAACATCGGAAGTCGGAATGTACACGGAGGAGGCCCAAGCGACTCCTGCACGGCGGAGACGGAGCGTATCTCTGAAATGTTTCCAGCTCTTCTTATGGTCTTTGTCTCCGGTCGAGTCGTCATCACGGATGATGTCAAGAAGTGTCCGATTTAGCAGCTTTTTATCGGCGGTTAAGGTCAAGTTTTGACGGCCGCCGTTGTTGTTGCCATCGGTGGTGTCTTTGCCTCGTAGATTGTTCGATGAATTGGTTCTTTCGTTCAATGATAGCCGCCGACGATTATTACCATCACCAAATCCTCCACCACCACCGGTCTCCATTCACAATGAATTACTGAAAATTTCGAGAGAATTTTAAACAAAGTGTGAATTACAACAAAATTGTTACGAGATGGAAGAAACAAGAGATGAGGATGAATAAGAAGCAAGAATGTGAAATTTTTTTCTGGGAAAATTTCAAGAATGATTCTTAAATTAAATTCCAAAATAAAAAATGAATGATTAGAGAATTGCTGTACAACCTGTGACGGAATTAGAATGAATGGTGTGGGTACAAAATAAACAAACAAATTAGAAATATATATGAGATTTTCTCGGGAAAATTGAGTGTTCCTCAGAAATTCAAGGATAGAAAACTTCGTGGTCTCAGTGAATTTCTATATATATATATAGGGTTAAAACCATTTTTGATATCTAAAATATATATTTTTTGTCAGTTAATCTTTATTGTAACAATTTAGTCCTTAAAGTATTTAATCTGTATCACTTTAATTTCTAATCAAATAATTTGTTAAATTTTTTGACAGAAGCGATCACTTGTCATATTTTTAGATGATATTACGTACTTAAAACATGATCATTCCGTCAAAAACTTAATGGTCTATCTAGATAGGAACTAAAATGACACAAATTGAATATTTTGCGGACAAAATTGATAAAATTTATACAATGAAGGCTAAATTGACAAAAAATTTGTATTTTAGTGACAAAAAATATTATTAACCCATATATACCTTAAAACCTCAACTCAGACGTCTTTTGAATTCAAATCTTGATAATTTTTTAGAGACAGACTATGAAAAAATTATCTCTCATAAATACTTTAATCACAACATGCCGTTAACCGAATCGGATAGGAGATTAATCATGAATAGCTTAATTTTGACGTAAGTCAGTACAAACAACCCTAACCGTTAAACTATATATATATATATATATATATATATATATATCTTAAAATAGGGAGGGGAGCACAAAGAAGATCAGATTGAGAAAAATGAAGAAAAAAAGCGTAGAAAAACTACAAAATTTCCCAGGAAATTAATGAAGAAAACAGAATACAACAATAGAGGTTTCAGATCGCGATTGTTTTAGTGGTGGGGCATTGAAAATTTGACAAGAAAATATCGGATAAATGAGGTAGAAGTAGTCTATTTTTTTAAGTAGTTAATAGTTAATTTATGGACGATCTTTAGAGATAGTTAAATGGTTGAGTCTGATTTCTGGTAATTCAAAAATCTCATATTCAACACTTTTCATATTCTTTAAGGGTTAATCATTTTTGTTTTTCAGGGGTTACGCTTTAAACGCGTTTAAGCTGCGGTGATCAATATCTGAACTCGATGGAGTAATCGGCACAAGTTTATACACTCTGCAGAAAAAAAAAAACAATTAAAGTAATTTTTGTGATCTTATATATAAAGGTTCTATTATCAATGAAAATGATATGTTAGATATTATAATAAACTTTATAGTGAAGGACTGGTTTCATTTAAAGTGAGACGATAGAGGTTTTTATTCCCAAAATGAGGTTCTTTTCCCTAATTTTATTTTTTATTTTATTTATATGTTCCAAATCGCTAGGAATCAATATGCCAACACTAGGAAGTCTTTTGGTAGATTCTCAACCAAGTTCCCTTAATGCCAGAAATGCCAAAGAATTGGAAGTCATGAACTCTCATTTCTCAGCAAAGGGGTGGGTGGTGATGGGAGCAGAAAATACGAGATGTTCTACTAAACTTAACTTTATAAGAAGATAAATTCAAATTTAAATGAAGACAAATTTAAATTTCAATAAAGGTGAAATGTGACAATTAAAGGTTTAGATCTGTCTTAATTTGAGTAAAAATTTAAATCTTCGCTTATTTTTAGTATGTTTTTGCCCAAATTTTTAAATTTAAGTAAGGATTGAAAATATTTTTACTTTGGCTTACATTTTTACTCAAATTTGATTTGATTAAAATCCTTGATTTGATACACACAAACTCAAATTTAAAAGTATGAATTATATTTTATATCTTAAAAAATTTTAAATTTCTTACTTTGTACCCTCAAATATTAAATTTTCTACATTGTATTCTTAATGTATCAAAAATATTGTAATGTGACTATTTTATTAATTTTTTTGTTAGTGTCAATAAGTTAACTTTTGACAGAAAAAAATAACGGAAGTTAACAGAAGGACCACATTATAATATTTTTTATACATAAAAAGTGTAATATGAAAAATTTAATATTATTTGAGAGTGTAAAATAAAAAAAACTTCAAATCTTTTAAGGTGTAAAGTATAAAAAAAAAGTCAATTTAAAATAGTACAAACTCAAATTTAAAAAAAGACATACTCAAATTTAAAAAATAATAAAATTTAATCATTGGGTCTTTAATAAATCATTAAAAATTTGAGTCTCCCATAATTGAAGTAAAAATTTGAATTTTCTTTCATTTCCTAATTTAATGACCAAAATCCAATGTAGCCGTTGGTAAGTTTTAATATTTAATAAATTCCGTTGTTAATTTAATAATTATAATAAATTAGGTAAGTAAATTATATAAATAAATTAAGTTAATTGTAAGAAAATCCGTATTGAGCTATTAAATTGACTCTTTGGTACGGACTGCATCCACTAACGGAACTAACTAACGAGGGGAGAGTTAGCAAGTAAGAATTAGAGAAGGGTCTCCCTAATTGCTTATCATGCAGAGGCTCAGTTTTTTTAGTACACATGTCATGTCGCCATGAATTTCGACTGAGAGCGGTGTGGGTCCCACAAAAGTCAACGTGGTGGTGCTACTATTCAATTCAACGGTGACACAACGTATTACGTGGTGTCATCGTCAAACTAAAAAAATTAAAAATAGATAAAATAAGTATCACTATTTTTATAAATATCAATAAACATCACATTTAATTAATAATACATAGAATTAGTGATATTCATTTCATATATTTGTTGTCTTCTAGTTGAATGGTTACATTGTATAATGGTGATGACATGATATCATTATTGTAATAACAGTAAAGCTATATTGACTAAATATTAGGATCAAATTAAGAGCTCAAATGATATGAAAATTGGCTTGAGCATCTTTATTTTGTGTTATGTCATTTGGCCCCAATAGAGACAATAATATACTGCCATGTCATTTGACCTCTTAATTTGATTCTAAAATTTGATCAGTATAACATTAGTCTTGCAATAAATATTTTCTCAATGTGGTGCTAATAAAAACAATGGAGCACAAAAATAAATCCCAAGTGGGTAAGATAAATCTTATTTAGACTTACATGGAAGAAGAGTGGAGAATTATTTGCTTATGTAAGAGGTTGGTTATTAATTTTTGTGAGGTCCATTTATTTATTTATGATTTTATTATTAATTAATAATACTACATTACATTGTCATGTGATATCACCGTTATAATTAATATTTTCTTGGAGCACACCTACAAATTTCAAACATCCCACATATATTCAAGCAGCGTCATTGCATAAGTAAATATGGACCCTCATTTTGTGAAATGTATTGCGTGCATTATCATGGTCTTTAATGCTTTGGTTATCCTTATTAATCATGTTTTATTAGCATACTCTACGAAAAATTTAGACTCGTGAAAGGTTTAAATGATGGGTTAATTTTAATTTGTACTTCGAAAGATTATTCGAATATCAATTTATACCCTTAAAGTTTAAAAATATCAATTTGCATCCTGAGAGGCATAAATTCGTATCAATATGCACCTAAAACTAACCGTCTCCTATTTTGCTTTAAAAAAATTTGGACTAATTATAAATTACACCCTCAAAGTTTAAATATTTCATATTTTTTATCCAAAAAAAATTACATCCATTAATGTTCATTAAATAGCTCTCAATTGTGTCATGTCGTAATTAACTTTAAACAGAAAATATATATTTAATGAGTATTGTAAGGAAAAAATAGGTATTTTAAAATTTTTTAAATAGTATTATATGAATTCTCGTAAATGTGAAATATAAAACACAATGAAATTGACTTGATAAGAAAAATTTTTTGTATTAAAAATATTTTTTTATTAACTCAAACACGACACAAAAATAATACGACATGACAAAATGGCACGACACAAAAATATTACGATACGATAAAATTAAGAGGTATTTAACGAGTATTAATAGATGAAATTCTTTTTAGATCATAAATATAAAATATTTAAATTTAAAGGTACAATTTAAAATTAGCTCAAACTTTTTTAACGGCAAAATGGACGGCAATTAAACTCTGGTATACATTGATATAAATTTATATCTTTCAAGGTACAAATTGGTATTTTAAAACTTTAAGGTTGCAAATTAAAATTTGAATAATCTTTCAGAATGTAATTTGAGATTAGCCCTTACATGATTTCCATTACACAATAAATAGATGTTATTATAAAAATTATAAATATATGTTCACAATCTGATGAGAACGAAACATTAAAGAATTCATCCCTTACATCAATAAAGAAATAAACTGTGAAACCCGAGCATACATGCATAAGACGTGGATATAAAAAAAAATAGGTAAGTATTTTTATAATGCATGTTTTAATATATATAAAAAAAGTTAAATTAATTTTTGGATTCAAGGTAATTACAAAAATGCCATGTAATGACATTTCTTCCAAGCAACTGTCTGGCAGCAGGAGGAGGCTCCATGTTTCTCTCCAACACTCTAGAAGGCTTGAGGAGGTGTTGAAGATTTCTTCCAAATGGATAAAATTCATTTGTGGAAAGAGAAACAGAGGAAAGAAGGTAAAGAGAGAAAATCTTCGTTCGAATTTTTGGGTTTGCTTTGGAGGCTTATTCGAACATTTAAAGGTATGCCTCTAGCCTAATTTGAATGCTAGGAATTTATTGATGTTGTTAATTTTTGATTTGGGTAAATGGTTATGCTCGAATTTGAGTTTTAAAGTTTTAGATTTTAGGATTTCATGAAATGGGTCTTGTAGAAAATGATTTTTTCTTCTTCAATTGAGTATTAGATTGTGTTTTTGAGTTGTTGTAGAGTTGTTTGGGAGT